AAGAAGCCAAAAAAAAAATTATTAATAAAAATTCGTTTTCCTACAAAAAAAAAAAAAAAAAACGGGAAGAGATCTGGTATCTTAACCCGCCTCGCTCAGCCACAGCCAATACATCATCATCATTTCTAGATTTTGGCCAAATTATAGGCTACTAAACAAAAGAAAAAAAACCTTTTAATGCTTTAAAGACATTAAAGTATTTAAGATGTTTAAAAATGTTTGGTGCATTTTTAAAAATGCTACTCGTATAAAATTGCATTTTGAGAGGGGGAAAAAAAAAACAAGTTGCGTAGGCTCACGTCCCATTTTATTATTAGGCTAGATTAAAAAATAATGTGCTAAAATGCCGGTGAAGCAAAATGTTTACAAACATTATAAACACCATAGATATCATATACATAGGCTATCTATGATAAACACTTATTAGTTTCCTTCTCTCCACAACAAATCCTCTAAAGTTAAGGCTGTGTGTTTAGGCTATAAAAACGTCAGTCCAAAAACAAGTTAATTTAAGGTGAAACTGATGCCTACCTCGATTGGTGCGAATCCAAATGTTTCCATATTCTGCATACTAAAATATTATTTTGTAAAAGGCTTTGTACTTCACTCGCATCGACTTCATCCTTCACATCGGCTATATCAGCACAGTGAGGAGGTGGTCATGCTGAACGCAACAGATTGTACAACTTTTGCGCGTCTGAAAAGTCTCCTCGCCTCTAGACGCCTCGTTTTGCGTTTAAATGAATGCACTTCAAAGCAAGAGGAGAGCAGCAGTTGTGATTGGGGTGGCCAACCCTAGCCCCGCCCTAAAATTGGAAAAATTAATCACCTGCGTTATCGCGCTAATTTTGACAGCACTAATTATTTTATTAATTTTTTTATAGGAACTTCGTTAGGAGATGTGCAGTCTTATTGGATGGTTCCCCAGCCTCCTCCGCCACCATTGCCTCCACTTCCTCCAGTAGATCCACCCCCTCCACCTACAGAGCAACCGCCGCCACCCCCTCCACCACCTGAATCTCCTCCTCCGCCCCCTCCACCACCCCTCGAGGATGACGGAGAGATTGAGGAAGTGGAGATGGAGGATGAGGAGTCAGAGCCTCCTGCTCCTGGAACAGAAGAGTTCAAGGTCACTTTTTGGTCTTGAGAGTTAAGATTTAGTTTATTATGCTTTAGTGCATAGTGAAGCTATATGTTTTGATGTCTTTTCCTCAGGCGGCTGAGGCAGCGGCATCTTTGGGACTTGCAGCTAAAGCCCAGAAACGCAAGGCCCCAGGCTCAGTCCCGCTGCCCAAAACGGTCACCATCGGCAGCAGCCCCATTCTTTACACTCAACCCATTGTCACAGCTGGTGAGAATAAACTGCTTTTACACACATCAGTATTTTCAAAGAGCATCCTTTCTGGTGGAAAGGTGGTGTTCCTCATGTTCCTCTTGTTCATTCACAGCCCCACTTCTAGTTGGAAATGCTTACTGGGGGATGACAACTGCAGTTGCACCTCCCCTGCCTACAGAGAGCATAGTCCCACCAATGCCAGCCCTGCCCCCCCAACCACCCCCTCCTGCTCCACAACCTCCCAGCGCCCTGGAACCGATGAGCAAAGCACTCACAGACAAAACAAAGAAACAAAAAAAAGAGAAGGTGGGTGTTTGTTTGTTTGGTGTGTTTTTTTGTTGTTGTTTTTGTTCTTGTAGTTTCCTTGTTGCTTTTGTTTTTTGTTTGGCTGTTTGTGTGTTTTTTTTTTTTTTTTTTTTTTTGATTTTTTTTTTTTTTTTTTTTTTTTTTTTTTTTTTTTTTTTTTTTTGGG